TATGCGCAGAGTCTTATCCTCTTGCTCTTTGAGCCTTGAAGCAGTCAAGTATGGACACACTATATCGGCTGTTGGAGTGGAACCCTGTACAGGTAGGCTCTACTTTTCAGGGTGGGGGGGGGGGGGGGGGGGGGGTCTTCGTTCTGAATAATCAGGGGTTAGGATTTGCACCCGGTCGAAAGAAACCTTGCAATCGCAAGAGTAACTCCAGCTAGCTTCGCTAGCTTTCGTGATATAGCTTGCCAGTGGTTACAAGAACTTGTGCACTACTTAAGGTTGACCAGTTTGGGTCACCACATGCATGCATGCGTCATTCGTTGGAACTACGCCATGTCATTTCTCGGATGAAACAACACCTAGGAAGCGACCGTACAATGAACAACTCTTCCTGCACCACGTGGGATCATGGGAATCGTGGTCTCCGCCTCCGCTGTATGATCCGTCCCGCACATAACACATAAGTCCCCATCCTCTCATCTTCGGATAGCATGTGGTCAAAACCGTCAAAGGGGAGTCATGTAGACTCTTGAATTCATAAACCGAAGAGGATGTCCAATTCATTATTTGAGGGCTTATTCATCAATTCTGCTTCTTTGGGAGCGTTTTTCGACCCACCACTACCCCCTCGAGCTCGCCGGACCGGAAATGCCGGAGCACTGCTCCGCGGTTTCCCTCGCGTGTCGTTTCGCGGCGCGACGTGGGCGGATCGAAGGCTCCGAGGGGCTCACGTGATTGGGTCGAATCTCTTGCGGGCGCATGCAGCTCAACAAGGCCAAGGCTAGAGCCCAGCGTGAGGCCTTTTCCCCGACGCTCATGGTAGCGCTGAAGCTGATGACTGTGGGCTGAAGAGCCTGGGACATGGCCTGGTCTGAGTGGGTGAGGAGTCTGAGGTGAGTGAGCGAGAGCGGTGCTCGAACATCGCTGGCTTTACTCTGACCATAACCCGGCTGCCACCATTGCTTTACAAGAACTTGTACATGATAAAACCAGGTCAGCCCTTTTAAACGTAGTCTTGGACTCCCAGGAATCATATCTGGCTACTGCAAACTGACACGTACTCAAAACATTTCAACCACGGACTCGGCCAATGACGAACGGCCCCGGAATCGGAAGTCCAAGGAACAAAAAGAAAGGTCCGGGCTCCGTCATGCGTTTGACCCGGGCGAGACCCAAGCGACTCCAAGTCTCAACCACGAGAGGTCAAGTGACCTTATAGGACCCGAAGCCGGGGGTACTAAATGGGATAGTCTATAGGGCCTTGTCCTTCAACCTCTGTTGGAACATGTTGGAACCCATTTTCTCCAAACCTGGATCCATCTCTGGCCTGGAGAACGCTCAAAGCCGCCTGCCACGCCCCAGTCTCGCAAGCACTGATGCCTGCGTTGAAGCATACGTCATCGGGCAGAAGACGTGCGAAGGGCATGTCCTTGAAGAGGCCTCGGGAGCTCGTTTTCTCCCCCACCATCTGCGCGCATGTGAGGGGACTCCCAACCTTCAGATCCCTTCAGCAGTTTCAAGAAGGCAATTCTCCGCGATCCTCCCTTTCCTTCCCATTCCTGCCCTACTTTTGCATGTGTGCGTCTGGCCGCCGACGGTCCGGACCCATTGTCCGCCATTCATGGCGCTCATGGTTGCACTGAAGCTCACTGCGTCAGGCGCTGGAAGCCGGGAGAAAAGTGACTGGGCCAACAGCCACTGCTGGCCTCAACAGGATGAGAAGTACAGTAAGTGGACTGGGATGTAATAAGCAGTCTACGACAACCGTTTCATCGTGGGGTTGCTTACGTTCCCTTCCCCTCCTGAATGGTTCACTTCTGCATGGGTCCTCTTCGTCTTTAGCCGCCAGCCTTTCAGCCTTCCACAACCAAAGATGTTAAGAAGAGGACTTGGCATGATGGATGGATGCCTGAACTTGGGCGCCTCAGCCGCCGCCTGAACTTGTGCAACCCCCCCCCTCCGGCCAAGCCAGCTGCGCAAGGCAACGCAGCCGCTTCCAACCATGCGCCCCGCTTCCGGCCTGGCGCGCACGCAGAAATGCCGGCATTGATGTGGATCATGTTAGGCTGAACCTGGTGTCCGGGCATGGACGCCAACAGCCTGCACGCCCGATGCCACTCACCTGGCACGTCGGCCGAAACACAGGCTGAAGTAGCCCTGCGCTACAACGAAAAACTGCCTGCGAGGTAGACCCAGATGAAAGGACAAAAGACAGAATCATCTGCCACTGCTACATGTGTTGTTGGTGTGCACTAATCTACTACAACATGAAGGGAGTAGAGCTGGGCTAATTGAAACACAAAGATGGTCCAACGGTCCAACGTACGCCCACGCATTTTGTTTGCAGAGAAGAAGGCTTCAACATGCTTCAACCCAGTTGCCACACAGGGCATTCAGGCCCAACAAAAACATCACAGCTACATCCAAGACACTCCCAGCTCCACAAGTCGCAATCGCTATGGTGTAGCAAGCTGGGTCCAACGCCTTCCAGTCCAACAGCGTCAGCACTTTGCACATCAATTCCTGTAAATGCGGTGTCATGAGAAGCAAAGCACATGGGTCAGACACTCAAGGTCAGTTGGGCTCAGTCTCAGAGCATGTTTTCGGGGATCTTTGTGGCACGGAACCTGCCCCGAAAACTCATGTCCTACCAGCTCAACAAATGGACATGACCTATCCAGGGAACCAGGTCGGTATATCGATATATCCAGGAAAACGTTCACCGGACTGTCCATGTCGCATTTTGGAACTACTGCAAAAAGCGGGGCCAACGCACACCACAAGTGATCCCGTTCGTTTGGACGGTCGCTGTGTGGGGGGTGGTGTGATCCAACAAAAAACGCTCCGACTCCGGCAAGGCATCTTGAACGGCAACAGTTTGGGCATTCTCTGAACACGGGCCAACATATCGAAGAATGGGCCCCATCTCCGCTAGAATAATGCGGCTCAGCATCGCTATCCCTTCTTTCCGCGATCATCCTCAGCACTTGCTTGCAGTTGCTTGAGTCTACCACTGACCAAAGCCTCCGGTAAATCTCTTCGCGAGCGCCAGGGGTTGAAAGCAGCTTCATGGGCCCGACACTTCCGCGACGTCCAGGGAGACCTGATGCACGGCACCATGGGTGAGCAAACACAACATTAGACCTACCAAAAGGGGTGGGTCCCAGCCCTACCTCGTTGTACCACAAAGGGTCCCAGCCCAAGTCTTTCAACCTCCCTTAGGTATTTCTGTGATATCGGTATTTAAACACCGAACGCGGGAAGTCCTTGGACCAACCGCACCGAACGCGGGAAGTCCTTGGAGCGCACGCGGGACCGAACTCAGATGGCCAAGTGGAGTTCACACCGTGCGATCTTCGGAACGCCGGTCAGAACCACGTGACCCACCAGGGAAACGTCGTTCCCCACGACTTGGGCGCGAGCTCGGGTCTCAATGGATGTGGGCGAGGGAACTCGGTTTTTCGTGAGCAACATGTTTGGATCGAACTCGGGCGAACGTGTGTTTTAAAGGGTCGAACTCGGCGGTACCTATCTACCAGGTACAGGTGGATTTAATTCAACTTTGCATGTATCTTTCTCGATCTCCCAGCACCACAGGTCACGTGGCTTGAGGAATTCAAGGGAATGCCACTCCAGAACAGTACCGACCCTGGTACCCCTCCTCTGGCGCGCTGACGGTCCAGGCGACTGGACCTTCTCAAGACGCCACCCTCTCTTCTCATCTTCCAACTGCTGTGCTGATGTAGCACACTTCCCATGGGAACCAGCACGAATTCCAGCGGTCCAGCGGTCGGCGCGGATTCCCGTGGGCGCGGAGATTGTGGAGCCAAAAGGGCCTGGATCTCAACAAGTCGTCAAGTCGTGGCGTGTCAGTAGAACACGTCTGTATATCTGACATAGGGTCCTTTGAAGTCATCAGATCAATTCATCTCTTCTTGAATAGTCTGACTGACAAAACTCTCTCTCTCTCTCTCTGGCTCGCATAACTCTCTCTCTCTCTCTCTCTGGCTCGCATAACTCCATGACCCTGTTAACTCAATGTTTTAATGACCTGTGGCAATCCCTGTGGTGGATTCATTGATATTCATTGTATATACGATAATCATATACCAATTCATCCACAACACATGAGATGTGTGTCTGATGTCTCGCAAAAACGTATATAATTACGGTAACTGTACACTAACACGGATTCCCACAGAAACTCACGGACTCACCTCAGTTGAAAGGGTGGACTCACCCTGCTGCGTCTGCGCTTCCCACTCTAAACACTTCCATTGGAACTGAGTGGCTCTGTTGCTGGTCGACATGAACTATTTGGCCGCCCCTCAACTGCCCAAACAGGGAAGATCTGCCAAAGTCCACCCCAATCCCATCCAGCTACCTCAGGTTAGACATGGAAAACCTTCGAACCTTCAGGTCCGTGCCGTTCCCCTCCCGTTCCGCCTGCTGCTGTCGGCCCGCAAACACCTCCAGAACGAACGCAGGCGGGAGCAACCGCCGTCACTGCGTTCGACCGACGGGTTCGAGAGGTGCAACCCGCCGTCCTGCTACAAAGGCAGCAAAACAAAGCAGGGTGAATGGAACAAGAACCACCGGGAAGACGACTTTAAAAAGATTGGGGATCATGCAATATTAGATTTCTTGGATAGCGTCAAACTGGTTGACAAACGAATTACACCTTGCGAAAAAGGTAGCAGCGGCACCCGAAGTCCGCAAACACGAAAACAAGAGGGCGCACTGAAGCGCCGCGGCCGCGCCTTTTGCAAGGCAACTGCCCTCCCAGTCTTGAGAGGGAACGACGGTAAGTGAAGGTCGAAAACAGTTCGAACTGCCGAAACACAAGTGCACAGCGTGAACTTTACATGGGGGAGAATCCTTCGTCATCACCCCAGTTCCGCTGTTCGAACCGGTCCAGCCATTGGTAGACCAAGGTCCGCACAGATGAGCCTGACCGATCATCGACAAGGTCAGGTGGAATCACCCTCAAACTACAAAGGCGGCAGAAATCTACTCGCCGCTGCAGGCTTTCATCTCTTCCGGCCAGGCTTGAACAGTTCAAGGTCGTGTGCCATCTGGCGCCACGCCGGCTGATGATCATGCCATTGTAGAAGGGGCATTCATTTCCATGCTCATCCATCTGCCTCAGGGCGATCTTCAGGATCTGGGAGGCTTCCTGTGCAAGGGTCTCAGCAGCATTCTGGTTTCTCAGAACCAGATTCATCGCTGTCGTGGCTTCGACAGCAGCAAGGCGGGACTCCTCGGCTTTGGAACTCCAGCGCAGGACTTCCTGCTTCAGGCGTTTGACTTCTTCTCTAAGGCGAGCTGGGATGATCGCTTCATCCTTTTGGACTGCAGCCTCAGTGACCTGGGGTGGTACTCGGTGGTGTGCATCATGGCTCCATCGACCAACCATGAAGGCTGTGCTCAAAAAAAGTAGAAGGAGGGTGCACAAAACAGTTCCAAACCAATCCATTCCAGCTTCAGGTTCCACATTGGCCGAATCGGCCGTGACCAGCTGCGGGGCCATGAACAAAAGCAAAAACCAAAACATGAAATTCGTCTTACGACCGCGGTAGGACTCGAGCGGGCGGCTTCCGACATGGCTCGGACTGTCGGAGACATACTCAAGCTTCCGGTCGGTCCTGGCAAACATGACATTCACAGGAACCTTGGAATTCCGAAAAATCTCTTCATTCCAAAACACCTGCTCATCGACATTCACGTCATTCTCCGCAGGATTCTCGTCGATGGGCTGCTGGTGCTCCTCGTGGAGGTTGGGTTCCTCATTGATCACATGTGGTGGTACCACATGGATGCTTTCGGGTTCCTCATTGATCACATGTGGTGGTACCACATGGATGCTTTCAGCAAGACTCTGTTGGAGCTCAGCTTTTGTCTTCTTCTTGGCAGCTTTGTATGAGGGGTCCCAAACAAGCTTCAAACGACCGTGACGTAGCCGTTGTGCAAGAAGTGCTCTGGCCGACTCTTTTGTCAAACCGTCAGCCAGTTGGCGCTCCGATGACATCCACCTCAAAGAACCGCCCAGTGAAGACAGGCGATCCTTCATCACACGGATCTCAAGCGAAACTCGCTTGTCAACCACAGAGCTTCCGACTCCTTCTCGGTGATAGGAGTCGTAAAGGGCTTTGGCGTCCGTGATCATGGTGGGCGACAACAAGGATGGAGCGTCCAAGAGCTCTTGGAGTCGCTGGCGAGGGTCAACCAACAAGCTCCAGTAGATGCTGGCATGCTCCAAGGCATCGCAAGCTTGACCACCGCTTTGTGCTTCGGCGCCCAAGGAAGAGCGTGCAACTCTTGGCGTTTTCAAACTGCGCCAATCCAACACGTGGTAGGCTCCTTCGGGACCATTGGCCTGAAGCAAAGCTTTGTTGACCATCAGGATCACATAGCCAGCTTGTGAGGCTCCGTCACTGCGGGTGGCAAAGGCAGCATCAAAAAAACATACCAAACAAAGTTCTGAAACTTCGCCCAGGTGGCTGTACTGTAGGCCAACATCAGCATTTTCTTTTGCAAAACGCAGCAGGCGATTTGTGTCGGCCACTGTCTGAAGCGTGGCCTTGGTGACATGACCGCTCAGGATCGAGGTGCTGCTCTGCAAGTGGGGACTGCTTTGAACTGCGGGCCATTGAAGTGAACCAAGAAGTCCTCTCAGCTGTGTCAACTCACGCTGATTGAGCGCATCGGTGAGGCTGCGCTTCTTGTCGTAGGTGATCGGTTTCACCTTTCCCATGTAGCTGGTCTGGTTGAGGAGGAGACCATCATCCTTGACTTGAATGTCTCAACCACAATAGGTCAAGGGCTTTCCATCATCACCAGTTTTCCATTCACGGAAGTTGAAGGTGCTCTTCAGCTTGGTGATGGTGTCGTTGTAGCACTGGGAGGATGGCGAACCGCAACCAAGCATGTCATCGACGTGCATGATGACCATACCACATAGGCCATGAGGTCCAAGCAGGTTGGAGTGCTCAGCTGTGGTGTCATACTCAGGGTTGAGGTCACCTTCATAGATCAAGAAGCAGCAAGGGTCTTGAGGATGCTGTCGGAGGCCCATAGCGCTCAGCTTATCAACTGCAGCCATGAACCAAGATCTCGGGGCATCGATCTGGCCGTAGCAGGGCTTGAGAAGCAACATACGGGTGTCAGCTGTAGCTCCAAGCAACTGCAAACACTCTTGAGGAAGCTGCACCCACAACTTGCGTGTCTGAGGTCGACCCTGCAGGAAGGCGGTTGCTATGTCTGAAGTCCAGATTGGCCACTGCATGGTGGAGGCCAAACTCAACAACATGGATCTCGACAGCCTCGTGGTTGTGGGCGATGAGGTTGGAACAGTTCCTTCCCAAGCGTCTGGGTCCATGAAGCCTCTGACAATGAGCCTGGCTTTGGCACGGGGGCTGCCATCAGGATTCTTTGACCACTTCAGCAGCATGCGACTGGTCAGCGTCCGACTGGGCTCAGCTTCTCTGGTGGTCTCGAACTGCCAGACGTGGTTGTCAAAGAAGGATTGCAACTCTTTGACCTTTGCAGCTTTGAAGGCTGCTCGCTCATCAGGAGTCATGTGGCGCTCCGAGAGGTTGTTCTTGTTCTTGTCTTTCTTGAAGCTTTTGGCGTGCCGGAGTTTGGTCTCCTTGCCAAGCTGTCGTGCTCCTTGAAGTGGGGCCTTAGCGAACATGGCCATCTCTCGACGAAGGTCGCCTTTGATCTGGAAGATCGTGACTCCAGTCCATGAGCGATCCAAGGGAGTGGAAGCCGTGTAGCCATCGTCGGTCTGTTGGATGCTTTTGCCGTTGTTGTCATACATAATGGTCACCCGAACCAGATCAAGCTGCTCTGAGGTGAAGGGGCTGTCTTTTGGCAATTGGTGCAGGCACATCTTGGATCGTCGAGGGATCACATGGTGTCTGATCAAACATCCGGCTTTGACTTCCCAGAAGTCGCGGTCTCTCTTGTCGAGCTGGAAGTAGCCATTCTCATAGGTCCAACCTTTTGGCAGGCAGTTGGCTTCAATGCCGGAGACTTGGAAGGCATGATTCAGCAAGGCGTGATCAGGTGCCTTCTAACTTGCATAGAGAGCAGGATCATCCGAAGCAGCTGGAGCTGCCGATACTTGGGCTGGCGCTTCTGCGGCTGCCGCTGTTGCTTGTGTGTTGTGCTCTGCACTGTTGTGTTCTGCTTCTGGTGTTGTTGTTTGTGACGTCGTGTTGTATGGCTGTGGTGACCCAATGCGCTGTCTTCGCAGGGGGCCAAAACTAAGTGTCTCCTGTCTGTTGAAGCGAACTCGTCGTTGTTGAAAAGTTTCAGCATCGACTGGTTCATACAATGCTGCAGTGTCAGGGTCCAGTGAAGGCCCTGACATTGATGCTTGAGGTGCTGTTGCAATAGCCGGTGGTGATGCAGCATGTGGTGTGGGTGCTGCAGATGGTATGGTTGGCTCTTCGCTGGGTTCGACCACAGTAGGAGCCCGTGAGCGGGACCTAGTGGTGGCTGGTGAACCTGGTACAGTGATCTCGGCTGGGGCCATGGGCAGCAACATGTTTGGTTCTGCCATCACTGGTGTTGGTGGTGCTCTGGGAGACGTCGGTGCAAAGCTGGAATGAGCAGGTGAGGTAGGCTCATATTCATCATCGGGCACGATGATCTGTGGTGGTGCTTCTGCAGTCGGCACGGGTGGCTCCAGGCGAAAGCGATGCCTGGGAGGCTCATCATCATCTTCTTCCAGCAGAGGACCATCAGGGTCAGTGTGTTGTTCATCTTCCTCGACATCATCCAGCTGTTGGCGGTTCACCCGTCTCAAGTCGTAAAATCTAGTGACTCCACGGGATTTCAGCTGTCTCACTTTGTTGAGGGCTGATTGCAGGTCTTCGAGCACGTGCTGAGGTCCGAGGATGTCTGCACGGACATGGTGAGGCGCAGCACGAATCAACTGTGTTTTGTAGGCGAGCCAGTAGGTCTTGACCTTTGGAGCTGCAGTATCAGCTTCAGCATCTTCTTCACGAAGAACCACGTGGGCAGGACCAAGCCATCTGATCTTGTTCAGGGCTCCTTGGCGAGCATCACGCCAAAACCATACTCTTTCTCCCAACTGGAAAACTCGATTCTGGCCCTGGTACTTGCGACTGAGAGCTCGTCGCAGCTTGGAGTCAGCATCAGCAGATGCCAGTGCCATCTTTGCAGCAGTTCGCCGCCCAAGGTTCTCCTCAAATGAGCTGTTGTTGCCAGCAAGTTGAGCTGCATTGAGGTTGGAGTCCATGAGGTGGGACAGCTCAGGTTGGAAGCCAAGAACCCATTGACTGGGCGAGAAGCCAGCAACTGCAGGTGTGGCGTTCTGCTGTGGGATCACATAGCAAAGTGCTTCCTTGATGCCAGCAGCGTCGTTGAGCTTGCGGTCATCCATGTAGACCTCACAGGCACGGCGCAGCACTGCATGACGGCGCTCAACCAACGAAAGGCGCTCATGAGCTTCTCCTGGTGCTACTTGATGGTCAATGCCAAGTGAGCTTGTCCAAGATTCAAACGGTGCACCAAGCCAAGGTCGGCCTTCATCGGAGATCAGCTTCTTGGGAGGGCCAAAATGGCGAACCCACATCTTTTCCAGAGCGGTGATGTAGGACTTGGAGGTCTCCTCATGAAGCAGGTAGGCTGCCATGAACTTGGTGCCAACATCAACTATGCTCAGCACTGCAAACTTGCGGTCTGCTGGCTTGAGGTAGAAAACGTCAGCCTGAATCACTTCGTTGAAGGTCTTGGGCTGTGGCATGGATGATGGAGCAACCTGGTTGGGCTTCTTGTGCTTCAGACATGCCACACACTTGTACTCCTTGGCAGCGGCGATCACAGTGGGATGAGCTCCTCTGGCGGTCAACAGATCAGCCAGAGCATCAGGTGCCGGATGGCCAAGGTTTCGGTGTAGCCGTTGCACCGTTCGAGGAGCATCTTGTCGGTGTTCAGACTTGAGCTTGAGGAGGTGTCCGGTCTCTTTCTTGCCAGTTTCATCGACCACATAGGCGGTGTCCCACAGTTGAGCGGTCTCAGGACGAGCCAAGGCAGCAGCCAGTGTCGCTGCAAAGCCAGGTTGGTAGTCTTCCAAGTAGGTGGTCCGGCGGCCATAGCCAGGAGCAGAACCTTCCAAGGGGCAGTGGTAGTGGTCATGGTCACACTTCAGCTGGAAGGCCTCTAAAACAGCCTGCTTTGTGGTCAACAGGCGAGTGCTCTTTTGGACAGGTCGCCAGATGCCGTCGGTGTCCATGCACATTGCTCCATAGCGGCATTGGTCGAAGTCGGCATAGTAACCAGGAAGATCTCGGAGAGCCATCGTGTTCCAGCTCAAGGCATGTCGGGGCTGCTCCAAGTGGGCATGCCGTGCATTGGTCACCTGTCGTAGGTAGATGCGCTTGGCAAAGCAGAGATGGCGACGATGGTGGTGCTCACGTCGAGCCTTCAAGGCTTCTTGCTGTGCAGGGGTGCGACAAGCCAAGGTTTGCATTCTTGACCACAGGCGGCATTCTGGTGCCACCAGCACTTCATCAGGTTCTTCTTCATCAAGTCGTTGGAGTAGCTGTTGTTGATGGCTGATGAGGTTGAAGTCCCAGCCATTGTCCAAAGAAAATCTTTCCACCTTCATGCCAAGCTCCTCTGCGATGTGGCCAGTGCGAGCTTTGCCACAATAGATTTCCCAGAGAACTCGTCGATGGTCGGGAGGATTGTGAAGCTCCTGAGTGATATAGGCTTCGGTGGAGTTTGAGGTAGTGACCAACTGAGTCTCCATGGTTCGAAGGGCATGTCGATGAAGGCGAGTGGATTGCAATTCGCCACCTGCTAGAGCCACATCTTCAGCCTGAAACACATGTTCGAGCTTGTTAAAGTCCTCGAAGTGGAGATGGCTGCCAGGTGTTTCCTCAGCAATGCGAAGGCTGAATAGGGTTTTCGTGGGATCAGGTACTTCCTCCATGCCAGTGGTGAGGCTCAACAAGTACTCGCCATGGCGGCCCACAAGCACTGAGGTCCAAGGCGATTGCCCAAAGCGAATGCGCTTCTGGCTGAAGTCGATGCCCATGTGCAGAGCCTCAATCACAGGTCGGCCCATCAACATTGGCGTGTTGCCAGGAACCAGGTAGCATTGGATCGTGCCGAACTGGCCATCGATCATCACCGGGAGATCCACTGTCCATGAAGCTCGTGAGGATGCATCGCCACCAAAATGGAACTGGCGGTCACATCGAGCAAAGCGGATGGTGTTGATGGGGTAGTTCATGGAGTGCAAGTGGCTCAAATAGCGGCCGAATGGACCATATCCGCACAGGAAGGCAGATGCACCTGGGTCAAGCATGGTGGCATCCGGTCGGTCGGTGCCCATCTCATCCTGGAACAGGACCAAGGCGGTCTCATTCTGCAAGGCCATACCCTCAGTGGGTGCAGGTCTCTTGTTGGACGATGAGGGTGATTTCGCACCTTGTGGACATTGCGCTGCCCAATGACCTGGTTGGCCACAACGAAGGCATGTAGTTGCCTTTGCACGACCTTTTGGATCAGCCTTTCCACCTGAGGAGGGTGGATAGCGCACCACATTCTTTCCTTTTCCTTTGCTTTTGCTCTTGCCCTTTCCTTTGTTCTTGCCGGCGCCCTTCGAAGGTGAAGAGGATCCAGAGGCGGGCGAAGCGTTCTGGCCATCAGTGAGGGCGACGATCGGCAGGTAGCCACGAGCCAACTTGAGCTGCTGGAATCTTTGCCGGGCATCCAAGTAGGTGGCATAGGCGTGGTCATACTCTTCGGCCAACTCTTGAGGATCTTCGGACAGGCCATGGTGTTCTCCAGGTTCATCCTCTTCGCCGTAGTAGATGGCGTCATAGTCAAAGTCAGCCTCATCGTCAGGGGCAGTGTCATCATACCAGTCGTCGGCCTCATAGTAGGCGTCTTCTGTCCAGGGTTGCTCGGACCAGTAGGCATCTTCTTCATCGAATGCGGCGTAGCCGCGGCCCTTCCAGCGGTTGAACTTTCGATCACGTTCAGCATTCCAGCCGCCTGCTTTGTAGTCCTGACCGAACAGCAGATACAGGGCTTCGATGACAGGATTCTTTTCCAACGTAGGAGCCTTCAGCGTCACCATTTGGCGTTGCTCCTTTGACAAAGCAGCACGTCGGAGTAGATGCCATCCTTGAACCTGGACTGGAAGAGTCACATTGTGGGCAGTCAAACGACGATAGGCGGTGTCATGGTCGGTGACGAAGGACAGGAGGCTTTGCTGTGGCTTCCTTTGCAACAAGTTGAAGTACTCCTCAAAGTCATTCGGAAGGAGCACACGATCGTCATACTCGAAGTTCTTGTCGAGCTTGGTGATGATCTTGCTGAAGCCATCCTCTTTCTCAGCCTCTTCAACTGAGAAGTCCTCGAACAACCGCCACGTCACACCCTGAAAACTTCCCAGGATGTTCAGGACGGACTCGGCTGAGCGCTTGCTGATCTTCATCTTGTGGTGGTAGAGCATCAGCCTCTTTCTGTACTCTTTGTAGTCCTGGGGTTGTCCACTGAACAGTGGAACGAAGGAGTCGCGCAGGTTGAGGTAGTCACCATCCTTGGAACCTTCTGCAGCCGATGTCGTTGGTGGCATTCTCAAACAAGTAGCCAAGACCGAAAGGGCTCTTCAACGAGGAAACAAAAGAGCTCGGCCAAGGGTTCGTGACAAAGGACTTATGCAGAACCTCGTTCTTCTTCGCGCAAAGGACTCGGAGCCCCCCGGAGGAGGCTCCGCTACCAATGCGAAAAAGGTAGCAGCGGCACCCGAAGTCCGCAAACACGAAAACAAGAGGGCGCACTGAAGCGCCGCGGCCGCGCCTTTTGCAAGGCAACTGCCCTCCCAGTCTTGAGAGGGAACGACGGTAAGTGAAGGTCGAAAACAGTTCGAACTGCCGAAACACAAGTGCACAGCGTGAACTTTACACACCTAAACTTCCAGCGGCAAGTTGCATGCCAAGCCAATAGACTGAAAGGTCCCACCGACGTGGTGTTTCTTGGCTGGTCGCGCCGCAGCAGAAGGATCAGTCAAGGTTGACCAAAGAGACCGAGCCTTGCAGAGTTTATCTCAGTAAGGGGGCAGGGCTCAAGAGAATCCCGTCTTCGTCAACTCGTTGGGTTTCAACTCGGAAAATAGGAGTCAGTGGGATCTTCCTCATCTCAAGTAAAGGTCTGTCAAGGTGATAACATGTTATAAACAGAAGGATCTTAAACCACCACCCAGAAAAGGAGCTGGCATAAGTTGGCATAAAGGTTCCGTTGGCTGGATAGAAACGACGACGACGTCCCATACATTCCTAGGATCGCGGCTTGGGAGGTCCGCCAATGGTACGAAACTCTCCAGTCGATCCTTCCACCGAGTGCAGCCTGCGGGGCCAGATTCATCACCTGGTTGATAAAAGTTGGCAATGCTTCGCCTGAAGACGTCGCGGGCCGCGAAGCAAAACAAATGGAGAGTGGACAATCAATCCATTTCATTTCCTTGTGACCCATCTACCCTCCCACAAGGGGTGACCCCAGGGAAGGTGGGGGTTGCTGCATGTATGGCAGCCGTTCAGAAGGGTCTGAACCCAAAGAAATGACAAGCTTCTGCTGACGATCAGTGGGAATGACCTTCGAGATACCGAGCCTTACTACTTAACAAAGCTTGTCAAACTGAGAGCTTAAGGGCAACAAACTCAAACTCCCAGGGCGAAGACCGAATGACAAGTCTGGCTGAAGCTGCGATCAAACTTCCAGCCAAAAAAGGATATGAAAGGATCAAGGGGCCAGCTTCACACAAGCCTGTGGGCCTGCAAATGTCATGCCAACTGAATCGGCCAGAAACGCTCAGTTTGAGCACCCGACCGTATCACGGCATCACGTTCTGCGACCCCATCTTCCCTGCTCTTCTGCGCGTCGCGTGCGCGTCGCAAATGCGCGTCCACACGCCTGGGGTCTGAGAGGTAGTGCATCCTTTGCAGTTGACTCAAAGGACCGAGCCTGAGTAAGGACAGCCACATCCAGCCACTGAAAACCAGCGATGGTCTGAGTCTGGCTACTAGTACTGGCCTCCAACCTACTGGCGATGGCCTCCCCTTCGCCCATGCTTCTGCTTTACAGCCTCTTGTCACTCTTGTCCTTCATAAAGGTTGGAGTTTGGGGTGCCATTTGAGGTTGTCAGACGGTGCATGCATCTATCTTCCCATCCGCCAAAGATCACAAATGAAGAACCATGGGCCTGACAATGTGCCACTGGAACATGGGTGGGGGGTGCAATCCGTAAATGTTGCCATGCTGCAGTTTACAAAAAAATCCGAGGCCCCTTGCATTGAGGGTTGCATTAACACTTCCAGTGTCTTCCTCAACAACCCATAATGCCATAATACAGGAATCTTGAAGGAATCATTCTGTTTCGCAGCACCCATGATCATGCCACTTGGTTTCCAGCATGCGCTCGAACGCCGCACGCTTGAGAAAAAGCACCTGGAGAGTGTTGGGCGAGCGGGGAGCAGCACTGCTGACAACAGACTGCAGACCATTTGTGGCGCATCTGTTCAGACACATGTTTGGCGGTGAAAGAGGATGAAAGAAGTTCTACTTGGGTGCTTCAAAGAGACGCTCCCACCAAGGTGGGTCGACGAAAGCCGAAAGTCAGTTCCGTCTGACCTGCTCCAACGCGGAGGAAGCCCTCCCAAGCGTTGGTTGGAAGTCAGGGATGTGGGGAACTGAAAGAAGTCAACTCACGGGTGGGCACCCGTACCCCCGAAAACAAAGAAAAACAGAGAAATTCATCATAAACGTATAGTGGATTGAGAGGACCAATGCCACAGACCTCAATGTCGGTGGTTTATATGAACCCCCCATGTTTTCAGGACATCTTGAGGTCGCCATCTGACACCTCCGACCGACCTGGGCCAGACCCTTCCGACCTCCACATGGGTCACCGCGGTCACCGAGGCGGAGCGCCGGGTATTCTCCAGCAGCGCCTGGCGGCCGAACTGATCCCAGCTGTATCTGATCAATGTACCTAGTTACCTAGTGATAACCTGTTTCCCTAGGCATGTGATAAGTGATCACTGCCTAGTGATTACCTAGTTACTACCTAGTTCCCCTGGTTGTGGGAGGAACTACATACATGCCAAGATCTGATTGAAACAGAGGCTCAATGGCTTCGATCGTCGATGGGCTGTTCAACCTCTCTAGGTCAAACAATACGCTTTCACCAAGGGTCGAGTATCGGAGGCAACCGCGGCAACCGGTTGGCCGTCTGGGTCACCTCGCTCGTTTGGGTTTCCGGCAGAGGCCGGAAGGCCCAGGCCCAAACAAGACTCAAAAGAGGGAGCGGTGCGAAGTAAAGTGATGCACTTGTTCCTAGTAACCAGTACGAGTGGCTATGCCATGCTATGCCCTTTGTTACTAGTTACTAGTAGCTTCTGGCTATGCAGTAGTAGTGCCCAATTCTGACTATACACTTGTTACTGATAGCGGTGCCCTTGACCCTGGTCTCTTTTTGTCCATCCTTAGGTCCTTGTGCTCTTGCACATGGTTTTGGGGCATCTTTGGGAGCCGCAGTTGTGCGTTGCTCGGTTCGTGATGAAAAGAAGGAGGGACCAAAGAGTCGCTGAGTCGCAGAGAGCCCAGATCCACTCAGCGACTAGTATCTTTAGATAATGATAGATGTCCTTCCCCCCTTGTGATAGATTTGCTTCTCCCACTCCGATCTGCGAAGCCCCGGCTCTAAGGCAATTTTCGAGAATTGAACATTGACAGAGCCCGCAACTTGGCTTAAATCCTGGAGCCCGTGGGTGGTTCGACCCAACACAACAAATCCCATTTGAGCCTGCTCCCCGCGGCCCTTTTTGGCCACAACCGCCCGACCGAGTCGAGCGAGTCGACCTGAGGCGGCCGAGTCGACGGGCCTTCTCGCCAAACATATCCCCTGCATGAATTCGCCGGTGCTCCTGAGTATGATCACGCAGTTGTCTCGGCCGGGGCTGGCGTGACGTGACGAAGCTTCCAGTTGTTTTGGCAAGCTCCCGATCCTTCAAGCCGACATCTGCAGAAAGACATGTTCAACTTGGCTTAGCCTAATAATGGCGTCCCAGGCAGGAATTGATCTCCGCTCCTGGATGTCAATGTCTCCGGCAGTTCCAGTCTTCACAGTCACGACCTCAGCAAACCAACTCCCACATGCAACGCGCAAGGGCCGTGGTCACACCAACTCAGGCCAAGGCCAGTGCACGCAATATCATCAAGTGAGGCTGACCATTTTGGTGCAAAGGGAAGAACTTCAATACCCAGACCCTCCATGTATGGAGTGTATGCCTACATTGGGGTGGTTTGGGGAGTCAATGTAGGCATACATGGCATACATGGAGCGTTTGGGATAGACTATTCCCACTACTCTCACCCCTTTTTCCTCGCACGTGACCAACCTTTGACCTGCGGCATCGGCGTGGTTTTTTCCGACAAACCTGATTCATCCTGCGTCAAGAACCATGGTTGCATACAGTAAAACCCTACAGACGTCAAAACGTTGGCCTTGCCCGGAACATGCTTACTTGCTTGCGAAGTATGTGGCAGGCGCGGCACAGGCCTGGCCGCAACACGACACCCCCTGCGGTGCAACATCGCTAGACAGTGAATTGTGCATGTTCTCTGCGGTGTATTGCTGGACGTCTCAATACATATCCTAGAGTCCTAGAGGGTGGCACATCGTGAAAAGAGAAGAACTGGTGCAGCTTGAAGACGTTTTTGCTCAAGCAATTCGAGCTCGGGTAGTATAAGAATGCTGAAAATACCTTTCAGCAGAAAGAAACACGACTTCAGCGACTTCCACCAAACGAAGCCTCTCCCCTGTAACACTTGAACAATTTCTTGTTCAATCTGCAATCTCAGGTTTGCCTTTGAAAAAGGCCATCATTGACATTGGCGGGTGAGCAAGATGAGCTGATATCACTGATATCCCTCTCGAGTGTCTTCACATATATATATATATACAGTAGTTACTTTGCACCAACATGATCCCTGGAAAACCGCCATCGAAGGCATTGGTCCCTCACTGGCCACGGACTGAGGCTGCTGACACACGTGCCCTCGAGAATGACATAAAGCCTGAGAAGAACGGTTGGGCTCCAGTCCTAACGACGACGCATCTCCTTGCAAGCTGATTGACCAAAACTGCCAAGATGTGAAAATTGGAATCCTCTTGACTGTCAGGTTGAAAGTTGAACCTCAAATCCGAAAACAGCAATCTGCTAGCCCGCAGCAAGTCCACATCTGCAGCCAAGGGGCTTGTCTCCGCGCTCGCCCTGCGTGACAATATCCTGCCACCAAGCATGGGTGCGAGGAGACCACCATGAACCAAGTATCCAATCTACATTGTATGATCTACGAGTCAATGAACTATTCCATGTACTACCGTGCCCATTTTCATCATCTGAGGCACAAAAATGCGAACAAACTCCAGGTGAACCGCCTCATCTGGATCGTATTGCTCAGTCTGCAGCCTGAGACAAAATTGATCGGCTACAGAATGATCGGCTCTTGCAGCACACCTTTTGGGGGGCCACTTGCGTTTACATCCAAAAATGCATGATTGGCAACAAATAATTGCATCGACATGTTGTTAACGTTACAACGTGCTACTTCCGCAAATTGCATCGCCTACACATGATACATGATCTAGCACTTCTTCCAAATTGCAGCATGCAATATCATGCAACCGCAGTTTCACAGCGGAACCGCGACGGCACCGTCTCACTTACATGGGAAGTGCATATTTACTTTACTCTCAGATCAAATGCTCGCCGGTGTCACGAACGAAAACCAACCAAAGAAAAAGGCAAATGACATGCGAGTACCAAGGATTTGCAGCAAGTGCAAGCAATTGCGCGGAGGGCTAAAGACATTTCTCCAGCAGCTCTCTCATGGCGTTCTTAGCCATCAGCGTCATGAGCAGCAGCAGCTGCTACACATCGACGGCTGCTTGGGCACGGATGGGTCCTGATTGTCATGGTGCTGGACCACAAAAGCCACCAAGGGCACATTGTCTGTCGCCCAGCGGTTGTAGCGCATGATGACGGTGCGGCCGCCTTTTTTGCGCTTCCCCGTGCTGGTGACATAGTTCTTCTTCTCCTTGTATGTGACACCGAAACAAAAGCACCCATATTTCAGCCCATGTGCCATGTTCTGCGCGAAGTCAGCCAGGTCAGCGCTGTCAAGGTATGCAAACCACAGCAACATGCGCCAGTTCTCCGCCTGAGGATGAAAGCGCACAATGCCATTCGCTGATGCCGTGAAGATATAAAGCGGCGTCTTCGGATCATCTGGCGCCATACTCAGAATCCTCTTGACGCTGATCCAGTTGTTCGCGTATGGCTCCACGTTCTCTCGGCGAAGCTGGAATTGCAAATATTCACCCTGGCCCAACTTGTGCGGTTGGATTTGGGTAGAGCCGCAACAAGACTCCTTGTCTTCCTGATGCGGCTTTCCTCGGGCCTTCCTGTCTGCCTCGAAAGATTTCAGCTCTTGAATCTCGGCCTCTGTGAACTTTTGGCTTCCATCATCGATCCCAGCATAGGTGGACTTGGTCTTTGCATGACTTGGCCCGCTGCCAAGCTCGAAAGTACCCATGAAGTCAGCCTCGTCAAAAATCATCTTGGAAAAACCATAGTTTTCAATGGGAACCATGTCAACCACACCCACGAAATCAGCAAAGGTTGGATGTTCAAGGACCCCCTCTAATTCAATCTCCCAACCAGCTTCCTCCAGAAGCCACTTTTCGGTGAAGCTCTTGTGATCCTGGCCATGCACTTTCTGAAACTGCTCAGCAAAGAGATTGAGTCCATTCTCTTCATTGAGCCTGTGCTGCTCCACATAGTCAAAGACTGAATCTTCGCAATCGCTGTACTGCACTTTGGCAGACTCATCATGAAAGACGTGGACGGGCACTCGGCGCACAACTTCACTTTGCAAAGCCTTGTAGTTCTTGTAGTGCCCCTTCTCGATCGCCAGCTCTTGGATCAATTTGACCATGCGCTCTGCATCAGCAGCCTTCTCTGCACTGTTGGCTGGCATGACGCACAATGTGGCTGGCGACAGTTCAAGTTCGGGAAAACTTGGATCTTGAGCCCAAATCGGAGGGCTGGCCCCCAATGGATCGCTCCGAGCACTTCAAGGCGATCCAAAACAGAAGGAAACAACATCAAACAGAATATGAACAGTTTCTGACATGCTTTGTTGCCGAAAATGCCCAGACTCATGTTCCACTTGCCAGCCGAACACCGCAAAAAGACCGAACATATCCGACCCCAGGGCGATCCCAACCCGTACCGCCGCCCTCTGAGCTCTTCCCACGCATCGGCGATCTGTGCGATCTGCTCGTCGCTCAAGGTTTCCAGTACCGGGGCTCTTCGTAGGTAGTCCTCGGGGTTGGAAGTGAGGAAGTGATGCAGCTCGCTATTGGGTTGGAGGCCATCACTAGTAGGTTGGAGGCCATCGCTAGAAGGTTGGACCCATCATGGCACCAGCTTACCGTGGCTGACACCATGGCTGCCCGGCACCATAGGCACCCAAATGGTCGTTCGCGAATTAAATGTATAAGGTACGAGAGTATGTGATGTTCTCACCTGTTCAAATTGGAGCGCACCAGTTCAAACGGTAAAAATAGGCTGTCGGTTCGGTCCCCTAAGTTCAATCGTTTTCTTGGATCACTGCATCTCGTCAGCACCCAACCAAATGGACACCTACATTGCCAAATTGGTCAACCAGGTAATCCTTCCTTATACCTTTGCGCGTTCTTGGCACGCACGCACAACACAAAAAGACTTTTCCCCGGGCGCACTTCCGCTGAGACGAAAAAAGACCTCTGGTTCACCACTGTTTGAGGATGTCTGAACCGAACCCCCCAAGGGCCGTCAAGGGCCAAATCCCCCCGAAATCCGGCGTTGGCTTGCGAAGAATTTGGGAATACGGAATGCAGAAAAGTGCTCTGAACGTTAAATTCCAATTCAAAACTGACCTCTACAGTGCAGGAAGGCATCTGCAGCAAAAAAAATTGAAAATTTTGATAGAGCATTTTAGAGCTAAACAGCTAAACTTGTTTATTCATTCCATTTCATTCCTATTTCCACTTGAAATGCTAGGATAGCAACCCACGCTGTTTCCTGGCCTCTCTGCGACTGCGCTCTTTGATCTCGCTGCGCACCACCAGGTCGTGGTAGGCCTGGAAGGGCTATCATGTAGGCTCTTGATGTATAAAACCCCAGACATGGATGCCACCTGCGAATCCTCGCACCCACACTGACGTTTGCCATGTTGTATGGCGGGTTCATGTGGGCTAAACCAAGTACAAAACCCCAAACATGGATTGAAAAACCTCTTTCGGCAGGGGGTAAACATGGTTGAAATCGTACCGTAAAGATGATACACCTTCAAGTTGGGCTCCAAAAGGTGGCTTCCCCTTGGAAGCCACGATACAACGATCTTAAAATACTTTAGAATGATATATATATATATATATATGTTGGACTTCGAAACTCCAGCATCGGCACAGAACCTGCGGTGGAACGCACAGAACCTCCACTGTGCATGATTCCAGTCTCATTCTGAAAGGGATGTCCACCAGTCTCATCCGGTGATGATGTTGCGGTCGGCCGGAGCGGCCGTGCCTCGCGGTACAAAATGCCCAGTGTGGCTGGACCTCTCTCATCCATGTACCTCGAACGAGCGCATGTTTTGGCCGCGGGGGTTGGGTCACCGCCAGCATGTGAGCCATCGGCTTTTGGTGTTTTCAGAGCGCGGAAGTCAAAGAAACCAAAGAAACGCAGACTGAGACATAATACTACAGTACCTGAAAACCTTAGCATGGAAGTAGAAGTTGTAATTCTGTGTGGTATCTATTGGAATTTGGGTAAGCAGGGGTAGGCAATTATAGTTGGAATACCTCGCTCCAAGTTCCATCCACGAATCCTCTGCGAAAATGCCCCCATATACATTCTTCCAATCATTCTGAATCGCACTCCGTTCACACGGCGGACACCTCTCCATGTCACGATGGTTTAAAACCGTGTGCCTTCTCCACCAAGACGGGGCTCCGCCTCAATCCTCAAACTTCGGTGCTTCCTATCGTTTCCCCATTCCCAACCCTCGAGACGAAAGAAGGGGTAGACTGAAGGTGTTCGATGAGTCCTTCGATGAGTCCTTGAGCCCAATAGTAGTAGGAACATGTACATGGTGAGCCTGTGACACGTGAAACCACATGGCACGATTCCGGTGCCATGAGGCACTTTCTTGGTCCATCCGGCTTCAGCGAGTCTCCGCGGTGGGCGGCGCACACGCTCCGTGTGCGTGGGGTCCGCCAAAGCATCGAACCCTCGCCGAAGAAGCTGCCAGCACCCAGGCTTCTGACGAAGATCTCGGTGGAAGCGCGCCCTTTGTGCGAAAAACACGAGAGGACTCAGCATACTGTGTCATTCATTTACTCGGAAAGGTGATGCAACCTGCAGAACTGTCCAGCCTCTAACTGTCCAGCCCTTAGACTTCCACCCTTGGAACTAGAAAAAGAACAATCGCGACGGTCCAACCGAGGCTAATCACTAGGTCCAAATTGCACCTGCAATCCCAGCCCAAGTACTTGTCAACAGATGCATCAATCAGGATCCGTTAATATCCATGTCGCCTTGGTGCTCAAAGGGCACCTGCGACTCTGAGCAGCACACTCGCTCTTCATGTGCACGCTCCTGCTTGGAATGTTCCAGCTGTCTCAGACACCAAAAAGGACCCGTCGTCGACGTCGCTCTTCACCGAACCCATCCACAGTGGTCGTTCGAACGCCACAAAAACGGCATCTGCAGGCGATGTGCTACCCATGTGGCTCACCTGCCTTGATAGTTCGAGCGACCTCCCTAGCAACACGAGACCCCGTCCTTGAAGACCGAAACACTCCCAGAAAGGATCACATAGGCACAATCCTCAGCGAGGAGCGATCCCTCCACGTGTTTTTTTTCTCACCTATAGCTCACCTGTCCTGAAAACACCGCTTGGGACCCTGGTTGAGCCAAGAAAAAAAAGGCGCAACATGGTCAAACTGAATCCTGCATCCAGCAGGTCTCCTTTTTTTGCGGGTTGTTGGGCGGTGACCCATAGAGTCGGGTGCTGGTTTATGAGATCTCGGCGAAGGGCTTTGAAGCGAAGCGAACCAGCGTTTTGACACACCTCCGAGGGCCAGGTGTGTGGACCTTCCTGGGTGAGGGGTCCAAGACTCAGAAATGCCGAGTGGAGGCCACACCGAGCTGCCCTGTTCCACAAACACCTTGAGCATCCGAACACCTTGAGCATCTTGTTGACACACCTGCTGACCTGGAAGGCTTTTCTCTGGAGCGGTTAGGCTCGAGAGTTGTGACATCTCTTAGCCGGTGTCCCGAACATGGCAAAACTTGGCAGCTTTAGTTCATAATTCATAGTTTGCTCTCACTTGAAGGTGGGACGATTCTCGCATTCGTCTTTACCAATGCAGTCGCTGTCTTCAATAAGCTTCATGTTTCCTTCTGCTACTCAGATGGGCACATCCCTTTAATCTTAGGACAAGTCTGACATTGAGACTGCTTTTCTAGCAGCTGGACATCTCCCATCTCGCGACTCTGGCTGCCCATCTCGCGCCTGGCCGAAACTCTTGCACCTCCATGGCATCGACCTCAGGGCGGTGCAGCTCCTCGACGAAAAGCGCGCCCGATCAGCGGTGGACCCGGGATTCGCTGAGAAGGTGGATCAAACCAAGTCCCGAACTGTGAAAACTGGTGATGTCTGTGGAACTGAGCAGAGACTGACTGAGACTCAATGGGGTGTGTCCATGAAAGATGCAGCAAACCACCGATTCGCCATTCCGTCTCCCTCGCTGGTCCGACCGGTCGCTGCCCAGTGGCGAGGCTGTCGAGAGTTGCATGGCCCACTTGTTGGGTGAAAGGGCATTTGTCGCTCCTGACGGGGCGGTCGCGGTGACCTAGCCGGGCCAAGTCTCGGGTCCGCCGAGTCCATGGCAGACCGAAGTCACATGGTGCTTTCTGGTGCAGGTCCCTTGCCTGAGCTGAGGGATGCCGAGGAACCAAACCTCACCTGACCAAGAATTCCCAATGAACAGATGTAAATGGCCCGCAGATGTCTGACCTGAATATGGTAGCAATCCCGTTGGAAAGAGGGTCGCAACCCACCAATAAAGTCTCCAAATCTCATTTTCAATCCTCGTTCAAATAATGTTTCATCATCTTCCATCACAGTCCTGTCACATCTGAATTCACAAGATATAGACCGTTTGGACAAATAATTCCCGCTGGTTCCCGCATGCTACACAGCGACAAGATGCGACAAGCATGCCCGAAAGAAACGAAATGAATCCACGGACCCGAATGCTAGCAAGCAAATTGAAAACCTCATTCTGTGTGACATTCTTGCAGGACATTCCTTCCAATGCAGCTCGTTTCAATCGTTTTTCATGTTTTTCCACGCGACGACACGTCACTCCGGGGGCCGTGCGTTCGCCCGCTCCCCCCAAAACGCTTCAGTCGCGGTGGACGAAACCAAGCCGCGCGATGGGTGACACGAACGGTTGGGCGTTCCAGCAGGGACCTGACCCTCCCAGGTGGAGCAGTGGAACTGGAGGAACGTCGGGTCTGGAGTCGGGTCTGGAGTCAGGGCCACCCAGACCAAGGGGCATGGAGGGTCCTGAAATCCGCCCACACCGCTTGTCGGTGCAGGGCGTGCTATGGGGCTCTCTAAGCTCTGCTGCTATGCAAATAGCTTTGCTAGGGGGGGGCGTGCACACGGCTATGGTTGGGCTGCAGGGCCACTGGGGAGAGCGTTTTGGAGGTACATTTGATGTTTCGTTACGTCGTGCTTGCAGGGCCACTGGGGAGAGCGTTTTGGAGGAGTTTTTGTGTTTTGAGCTGGTTGCTGCGTTGATTCTTGCTCGGCTGCAGGGCCACTGGGGAGAGCGTTTTGGAGGTGTATTTTTTGATGGCTTTTGGCAAGGCCGAAGTTGTATCACCATTAATTATGGGCCCCAAGGTAGACGAAGTTGGCCCCAAGATGGCTCCAACGCAGCCGTAAGACAGCCAACCTGGCGCCTAGATGGCTGCACTTGTCCCCAACCTGGCGCCTAGATGGCTGCACTTGTCCCCAACCTGGCGCCTAGATGGCTACTTCCATTTCACTAACTTCGGCAGTTCGTGCGCGGTGTGGGCGGCTGTCGGCGCGAAGCGTCTTGAACACGTCATGTGCTTGCCAGAACGAGGAGACTTGAGTTCCACGAGAACCCTGGGAACCGCCCGAATTCAGAACATGAAGAATCCAATACTCGTCCGGTCTGCAGACTTCCCCATTGAATATCCCTGAATGGGGCAGCCCCCCTCCCATGCAACAGTTTACACATAGTCAGCTCCAGATTGTGATTTACATTATATACCTTTTCCCTTTGGGTCTTTCCTTGTCCGTTTCCTTTTCCTTTCCTGCTCATTCCTTTTGAGTACTGTATGACTACTATCATGCCAGTGTGGAGGACAAGAATAGACAAGAACTATCCAAAACTGTCCACACTTGCAATGTTTTCACTGCTCCTCATCACTTTCTTCAAACCCTTGGCTTGCTGTGTGCTCTTCTCTTTGCTTGGCCACGACCTTGGTAGACACGGAGGAAAAGGCGTGCGTGGGTCCCACGCTTCGAGCCGTAGTAGACGCACATGATCGATTGTGATTGATTGATTTACGCCGGATGGTGTAAAACAGAGGCATGGACGGGCCCTATCGTCTTCACCACGGCGGTTCACGGAGGTGGGCTCATGGAGCACCGAGTCCGAGCTCCCCTGGCTTGCTGGATGTGAAGTGGTTCCACGCCCCTTTGGCCTGGCATCGTCTCGGACTCGCATGGGCCGAAGGCGGCCGAAGTGGTCAATACCAGGTGCTTCCAACCGGTCACCAATGGGCAACCCTAAATAAACCTGCCATACCCGACCTATAGGTATCCATTGGGCACCCATTGGAAGTGCTAGGTAGCTCATATTCATCAATTGTCAACTAATGCACCGATTCGCATTGCAAGAAGTGAAGCGATGAAGCGATTCGCCACCCAACCTTCTCGGACGGGCAAAACAAAGCGGCTGGCAAATGCCAGATCCTTTCGTGAAAACCCTGAAGCGTCCAGTCGGCGTTGTTCGGGTTCCCAAGTCCCAGAGGGGCCCTGCGCCTCAGCTGAGACCCCCCCACGCCTGAGACAGGCGAGTTCGGTCACACACGTTATGTGGTTTGGTGTAACTGTGTGGCTCTCTATGTGAGAGTAAAGAGGAGACGATCGTTAAGAGGAGACTTCAATCTGTCCTATATGTGGCTCTCTATAGTCTCACCTTTAGGATAGACTATAGAGTATGTAGATTGATGTTTGAATGTCAATTCGCTCCGCTGTCCCGTCGCAAAAAAATACTGCCCAGAAATCTGCCCATCGCACAAGACGCTCAGAAGGTCTCTTCTTCAATGACCATGTCACAGGTCGATGGTTGCACTCCCCAAACCCCCGAAACCACAAACAAGCCATGCTAAAGTAGATGTAGCTGGAATCATTTCTCAAGAAGATGAGGGAAAGCAAGCATTTTTGGTCTGGTAGAGCAGCTCATACTTACTCAGAATGCAAGCTGGATGAACCCGTTGGATGAACCCGTTCTTCTCTGAGTCCCCAAACCGTAGGTGAAGAACGCTTCTGATCTCCTTCGAACAAGCCATCTTTCTGCTCCGAACCGTCTGGTGAAACAAACCGCACGGCTCCCACCGGTTCCGACTGGTTTCTCCTACCTGGCAAAGACACAAGTGCTTCCGGCCAAGGCAAACCATGTTCAAAACACGAGTGACATCTGGAATCCGGTTCCATGTTAAGACAAAATTAGATTGAAGACATCGGCATGTGTCATCAGAATGAGAAGTTTTCTTATGATGTGCCTTCTAGACCAATTTTAGGGCAATGGTAATCCAAAAGGAGCCAAAAGATCCAGGCAGCTGGCGCTCTAAAACATTCTAAAACCAAGAATCGGAGAAGAAAAACGGCAGTACCTAGCAGTACTGCCCAGACCTAGACTCTCGACCACAAGGATGCACGAGGACACAGTGGAGTGCTCAAATTAAACTCAAGCGAAAGCCCAAAGCAAACCCCCGTGGCTCCAAAAAATCAAAAAATGTGAAGAAGCAGAGTAATCCCCCTTGTGCCTTGCCCTCCTTTTCAAAGCCTCCCCGCAGCAGGTTTTTCCGCGTCGTCTCCTCCTCAAAGCCCTCACTGAAGGATGTTTCAGCTTCATCTCCTTCGTCCTCACCAATTGGGAGGAGGTACCAAATTGGAAGGCACGAAGCGCGAAAAACATGAGTATCATGAGTCAACAAGTCGCCTCTCGAAAAAGACCAGCAGTTCCTGAAAGAGTTGCTGGAAAGTAGGGGTGTGAAATCATCCACTTAATCACCTAAAACATCCTAACCACAGTTGTGGAACTTGCCAAGCCCAGTTGATCACAAGCCGATGTCCAACCATGCGCTACCATTCGTGAGGCTCTCTTTATTCAAGTCATCAGCTCGAACTAAGTACATCAGTTGAAAAAAGCAGGGTGCGCGCCCCGCTTGCGCGCCCCATCACTGCAAAGGTTTTAACCTTGCTTTGTGCATGTGAGGTCCCCCGCATCTCGGCCGCTCCGCGCCTGTGATTCGTGGTCCGGCGCCTCCGTCTCCGCCAAACTGGCCTCCGTTTCCGTGTCGGAGGTCGAGGTCGCTGATGAAAGCTGTCCGTGGGTGACCCGGGGTGGCCTCCAAACCACCATCTGAACCCTAGAATGCTCCTGAGCTTGGAAAACTCTTGGAAGCCACAGGGTATACCGCATCGTGTGCTTGCACTTTTAACTGAGCTGTGTGGTTGTACTATGTTGTACTGTGGGCCCCAAAAACACATGCGGCCTTGAGCCAAACACACAGTCAAGCAGTAGGCAACATGTAGCCAAACTATCGTGGGCTATCCTCGAGGTCCATGCGGCTTCCAGCAAGAGATTCGATTCATTTCTCGCGAATCAATCACCGCTTCTTGGGATGAATGGCTCATTCCCAACCATACGCAACGAAGATTTATATACCGTGGCATTGAGGGAGGGGTGGGGCTGATTAGCCACCTGTACCTGCGTGACTTGAGACCACGACTGGTCCCTGCTTCTTGTTAGAACACGACCTCTTTCTTGGCCTGGGTTCGTTTCTGTGCTCATGAACGAGCGGCCGACCCCCTTCGAAACGTTGCCGTGAGTTGAACTTGAAGGGTTTGAACTCGCAGGATTTGAAGTTCCTTTCTTTGCAGGATCAAGACCACCTTACATGTGTGTGTGCATGTTCATCTTCAACCAAGCGGCATTCTGGCAACACTATCCATTTCAATTCACCAAGTCTCCGAGTGCCTTGACTAGACCAGGTTCATATAGACTAGTGAGTGACTCACACGGTGGCATAGACCCCAGACAGTGGAGCCGAAGGCATAGACTAGTGACTCACACGGTGGCATAGGAGCACCCTCCAGTACCCGGTGGCTCGGTGCACACAGCGGCATCATCGAAAACCCGAAAAAGCACCCGGAGCGGTGCCTTCAGCACCCAAGCGCACCCTTAATTATAGCGCACACAAGCAGCTGTACTCCATCCTCTTCCTGCACTTGAAGTAGGAACCCCAATAGCTCATGCTCTCTGGGGAAAGGAAAGACCAGGGCACTCCGGCGCCGCATTTGGGCACCTGGTGAAGCTCCGAATGAATGGACACATGCGACCCCCTTCGTCTCGACCCTCTCACGTCTCCAGGGGACCGGATGTCCGGCCTCTCGGCTCAAACGCAAAGATGGAGAGAACCTCAATGATAGATGGATGGGTTGAAGGGAATAAGTCAACCAGGAAACCAGGGTTTTCACACCCCAAACTATGAGTTGCCTATAGACTTCCCCTTCAACATCCTTAAACTTACCAATTCTGGGTTTGGAGAAGGTCATTTGAGGTGCCCCCTCCCCCCCCTGTGAACCCCTTTGACCGTCACTTCAGTCAGCAAACTGCCCGCCTTGTGGCGTTCTTCGTTGGTGCCGGTCGGGCGAGGGTCGGGGCGCTACCACACTCACCGAGTCTGGGCCCCCTTGGCACATCAGCCTCAAGCACATCATTGAGTGCCTCGGCCGTTCATCGGTGGCCCTCGATCAAACCGTTCGTAGGTGATGGCCCTCTCCAACTGAGCGATGGCCTTCCGTCGAAGGTTGCAATCATTGAAGAAAGGGGACAACGATCAATTCCCTGCCCAACGGCCACGGTGTCAGGACTGCCAGGCCTAACGACCGAAATCGAAGAAACAGTGGATCTGCTCTGCCCAGAAAATGACTTGCTCGGCAAATCCAGAATATTCTGCTCAATTTCAACGTGACATATGATGGACAATTAAGATCAAATAAGGACATTCAGGGGCCTGTACGTGTTGGTGTCTTTTTGCCTCCAACATGTTCCTTCGGTCAGCCGAACAACATGACCAAATCACCCGCTCCCACATCCAGCGCTCGTCACGTACACGACCCTCGCGATGATCGACTTCTTCCAGTGCTCGTGCCCCATCCGGCAGTGAAACAGCGGGCTCCGCGAGTGGCATGTGAAGTGGGCGGAGTCGGCTGCATGTGAAGTCAATGCCAGCATGCCATTTTGCGACCCAGTGGGGTAAATTACAAAGGGGGAGGCCAGCATCCATCTTACAGTAAAAACTACTACCCTTATCACGCGCATTGTATGCGCAACTGGCAAAAAACTCATCCCCCCATGGGGGAAGTGTTCCATTCACCCAGGAAGACCATCTCCAAAAGGCAAGAAGCACTAATTGGAGGGGTTTCCCTCCTCACTGATCTGACCCGCTTCTCCGTTGGATGATTGAAAGGTCTCACCTGTTGCTCACCTGTTCCTCTTGATCCTTTAGATGTTCCTCTTGCTGTTCCTCACCTGTTCCCAGGTGAGCCGTTGGATCTTTGCCTCCGGTCGGACTGGTCTGTCGGACTGGTCTGACCTGCTAGGCGCTAGGCTATATCCACCATCCGGTGTGCATCGTCCACCCCACAAAGCGGTCCTGGTGAAGCAACGAAAGTACACTCTGAGTGTAGTATTGACAGCACCTACGCACCTACGAAGGGCCCTTGGCCGTTAGGCAGGATGCACCTAAAACACACATCATTGCCCTGACATGCAAAGAGAGTGGTTATATGGTTTTTTTTATGTAACACAATGTAATAGTACACATGATAGTCACATGAAGAATACCATGTACCTACCGCAATTGGTGTTCGCAAGAAAGAGGGTGAGATGGACTCCAATGTGGAAGCCCCTGATGAGTATTGGACCAAACTATATCATGAAGCTTATATACAAGGGAAGATCGAGATGACCTCATGCTACCCCGACTCCAAGTTCATGATGATCCTTCTGAAGCTTATCAAGGTTGAAGATCCAATATTGCTAGCCAAGTTGAATGAACTTAGCTCCAAAATTGGGATGCACGTAGATCCGAACCGGGAGAATATACATTCTAATATAATTGTATATATAGTAACATATAATAACTAAATACGATTAAATATAATATAATATATATAACATATAAAGCATATATATAAGTGTATATGTATATATATATATATCGATGTGATGTATCGATATGTGTGTTTGAATAGCACAAGGAACATGATATCGTGATATATCGTGTGTGTCTATGCTGCACGCTGTGCATGAAGCGATCGTGGAGACCCAGCACATCTCTCAATCATCACAGTGCACGCACTGCTGCCCAGCACTGCGGCCCAGCACATCGCCCGCAGTTCGGTCTCTCACTTCTTGCTCACAGGCTTTGACAAGATGGCTTCTGGGCGCGCAAACCGCACGTCTGCGCGGACATCCGCGCAGACGTAGGTCGGCGCATCGGCCGTCTGTTTGAGGGACACCGAGGCCAAAGGTGGGAACGTGGGATCCGGCACGGTGGGGCCCCTTTTGGCTTCCGGGTGGTCCTGGCGTCGGCCGTGCCAGGTGCGTTTTCGTCATGTCGCCTGATCTCGGAACCGTAGGAACCATGTTCCGCGTCTCGGAAAAGAAAACTGGAGACGAACTACTGTTGATCATTCCTGAAAGGCCGGCCAAATAGCCCATCCTATGAAGGGATGCAAAATTGAGGAACTTTAGTGCAAGGGTTTGCCACCCACTGGTGGCAGAAAAGAACTGGTAAGCGGTATGCATGGTTTGTGCTTAACTAGATCTCCCCAAACGTATCCTATGGTATTGTATGGTATCCATCTAACAGAATCTAACACCATGCCATGGGAGGGGTCCATTTCGCTTCAACAAGCATCCCAAGGTCCCTGTCCGAATCGTCACGTTGTCAACCATCCTCCGTCCTCGATGTCCCTCGTCCTGCCGTGCGCTCACAAAGCCCGGGGCCCGCTCCAAACGGAACCACCAAACAGCTCCAAGACACTCTCTTCGTCGTCTAGCTCCCGGAGGTTTTTCAGGCCATAATAGAAAGCGAGCGATAGAAAGATGCCAGCAAAAACCTCAGTTGAGCAACCTCAGGAAAAGAACATGAGTATACATTAGAGGAGACAAACCCATGATATATCTGTGCCTATCTGGATGCAGGTCCGCTATCCATCTGCCCATCTGTCTGGCGTTCTTTTTTGCTTGCTACTCAGTGCCGCAACACCGCTCAACCAAACGACTGCTCAGTCTTAGTCTTGGCCTTGAAATTGCCAGGCGGCGCGCGTCCCCAAGATATCATCCAAAAGAAGCTCACCAATCAGCCAAATGGTGTTTGCACACCTTAAGTTCGTCAGAGACACAGCCAGCAAAGCCTCAAACTCCAGCCTGCGAATGAAAAAACGAACATCCTCTCTAAGTCATCTGGCATACTGGACACATTGGCATCAGGGTCCAATCATTTTTGAGAAGGCTGGAAAGGCCGAACTTCCTGTTGAATCAGGTCGATGATTGACGGTCAATGGTTGAATCATCGACCCATCGGTCAGCACTTCGTCACCTTCGTCAGTGATGTGTGGCGATGAAAAGCGTCCGTGTCCATTCCTCTTCGCCCTCTCCCCTGTATTCACCAGATGTGCTGACCAGGAATATGCCCCCCCCCCTGGAATGGCATTGAAGTAGGACATCCAATCCTCTTTAAAGACTCCTCACCAGGAGACTTGCATAAGGTGACACTGGACCGAATCTAACCTCATCTTGTCACCCCCGACAGCCGTTCATGCACTGACTTCGGAGAAGCTGCGGGAATTCACCTCCATGAACCGATTTGGTCACACCACGGATCTGAGACCTTTTCTTCTCCGTGGCACAGCCAGTAAATCTCGGCGATGGTCAACAGGGGGCATCCTGGCACGACGGGCCCTCGCGCCGAGAAAACCCAAAGACCACGACGGTCGTGCCAAACCAACAGAGGTCTTCAGAAGCCTAGTTCGACTATCCCAGTTGGGTACCCCAGGTGACGGGTCCTAGTTCAGGTCACTTAACCTCTATAAGGTCAGGGACCAGAAATCGGACCAGCACCCACGCGGCGACAGCGGAGCGGCCTGAGATGGGATTGCCACCCTTCAGTGCGATCAAGCAGTAGAGAACCAGAAGGGAAGAGACAATGGCCTCAGAAGACTCAAGCATCACCAGAGTTCGAAGCGGAACCCCCCTAAACTCATGGGGAATCATATTGACACCGCTGTTTGTGGCTTGTGCCATCACCTACCCTCACTTGGAGGCCAAGTTTGAAGGCCTAAATTGTGGAAGTCCCGGAAGGATACGAGCCAACACGATGCGCAGGTTTGATCGACCATTAACATTCACTCTGCTGACAGGTCACTGGCCAAGCAAGCCTCATCAACCAAAAGCTATCCTGCAACGCAAATAGCGAATACGACCAAACGACCATGCGAACTTACCTGATATGCTGGTTTATTCAGCGTGTCGCAAATCGGGTTCAGTCAGGCTCCAGGGTAGATTCCATCCGTCAGGCTCCTCCTGAAGACTGTTGCGAGCCGCTTAGCTTCTAGCCTGACGACTCTGAAGCTAGTCGACGATGCATTCACATTGTAAGTCTTGGGTCTGGGGATGTCTGGGGCCTTGCCCCCAAGTGGCCACTGCCCCATGGGCGGGTCTGACCGGCCCTTTCTCCACGAAGCCAGATTGAACACAGGCTAGTCGCAGTCAGATCGAACTTCCGCTTCCTGGTCCCCAACTTGTGTGCGGATGTGAGACACTGACACTTCTTAGACGCCACGGACACCTCCTTGATATTCGGCAGCCACACGACCCAGCCGAAGATTCGATGGGTCGGTCCTTCAAGATCCAAAAGATGCACCAAAGGTCCGCATTGAGCCTCTCCCGCCGCGGAACCGGCGGCCCAGCCGATTCGATTGGGTCGTTTTGTTTTTTCGTCGCACTTCGTTCGTTCGGAGCGTTTCCACGTTTGGAGAACATGATGAGGAAGGGGTGTGTGTGTGTGTGTCTCAACAAGGTCCAAGCGTGAGAAGAGGGGATTTTCGGGATCTCGATGAAGATCTCAAAAGTGAACTATGTATTCTATATTGGGTCCATTCTATTACCTGTAACCGTGGATGATGATGGTTAGTAAAGGCCTTGTCCAAACACAGTGATAATTGTTTACTGACTGTTACAGCTAATAGGACAGACCTTAATTATATATAATACGCTTAACTCTCTCTATATATAGTTTAACTTTAACAAAACTATATGCAATATCTTATATGTATATACATATATCTAATATCTCTGGCTTCGGCTTCGACTCTCAGGCCCATCGTCCGCCTTGGATCACCGCGAAGAAAATCCATCGAATCGATGGCTGTCGGTGGTGATTCATGCTGTTTCATAAGAACAGCTTGTCCAAAACCATACTATATGTATATATGTATGTATATGCATGTGTATACTTGTCCTAGCTGAGATCCCTTGCTAAAGGGTCTAAGGGCGGTGCTAAATACAGGCCAAAGGCGCCAAAGGCCAGAGGAACGAAGCCAAGGGCAGCAAGTCCATGATGTCCATGGTGTTTTTACAATAAATATGTAAAACCAGTGTATCTAACTAGTGGTCTAACTAGTGTATCTAACTATATATAGTGTATCTAAATATGT